TTAACTTTCATTTTATGCTGTTTTGGTTTCAAATGATTAGATGTTGGTGGTGACACTGACTTGAAATTGATGCCTACAAAAATCTTCTTGGGTGAAAGACATTGGAAGTGACAAAAAAACGGTGTTGCTAAGAAATGAAGTTGTTGCAAATCTGCAACGCCTGCCTGGAGAGGGTTAAAACCTGAAACACTAGTTCAACAAATCTGGAACAAAAAGGAAGCGTGTGAAAATTCCCACCAACTTCAGAAAACCTTGCACAAAACAAGACGATGACACCATTCTGTAGCATGGGGGCCGCCCTGCACAGCCTTTCATATACCCTCATGACACGTTATGGGAATTTACACAGACGCCCCTACGTTCCCAATCCTCAAAGAGTGAGTTTACAGAATTCAATCAGATAAGTAGTCAAAGACATTCAGTGCATTCCTACGGTCTGCGGCCACATCCGTGATTCAAATGTGCTTTTTCTACTTTAAGGGAGATATTCGAATCGGAATACTGAAAAAAGCCCAGTTTCTTACAGACGCAATCAGATGCAATCCGATATCTCAATATGCTTCTACGTCGGCACATATATATTTTCATTATAATGTTGTTTGAATGGCAGGTTGCAACTCTGTGATAGCTTTGACGTGAAACCCACGTGTTATCAGCGTGTTTGCATTGAGCTTTAAAGAAATACAATCATACCTGCAGGTGAAACGCTAAGATTGTCGATATAGAAATTCCCCTTTGGCTTTGTTACCGAGAGCCTGGCGGAAATTTACATTTCAATAGGATGTGGTGTGGTTTGTGTACACGCACATTGGCATAAATTAAGTCCGGTGTAGAAAGAGCAATGTCATTTATTAAGGCTTAAACATATGTCCAAAATTTATGTTATTGTGTTGTTAATTGGAAACAATGCATACTTTTTTTAGAATTGTTCTGATTAACGGTTTTACGCAATTAAAGCTGTAAGACTATTTATTTCTTTTTCATCATGAACATCTTTTCTTTATCCTGTTAAAAAAAAACGTGTTATTCTTTGCACGCTCTGTCAGTCATTATTTGAGGCTTTGGGCTGGGAGGTGATTGGCCGAGTGAGGGTGGTCTTTTCTGAGTTGATCTAGATGGAGGCAATAAATACCACCGAGGAGCAAGTGACATGGATTATATATTATGTGCCTTAAAAGTTAGGTACTCCAGCTTTAAAACAAACATGGCTATTTATTTTATTTAGGGGCATAAACTTATAAATAGAAAATATATACATTATTTTAAAATTGAGAAAACTACAGCTTGTAGGCATATATTATACAGGGAATAACATTTTTTTCTTAGTTTTTTTTTTGGTGAAACAGACATTCAATTGTTTTGTCCAGTGAAATTCTTTGGGTTCTAATAAACACATTTTAAAAGGGAATGGGTTTTGATGTAAATAAGGACTCATTTTGTTTAAAAGAGTTTTAGATTAAAAACTTTATTGAATCTATTTATCTCAATCTTTTACTTTACTAAACCATCTCCCTCCCAAATGGTAAAGTAATGTATTCAAATCTATACATTTGGGGAGAATTTCAGAAAATATGAAGTTATTCCTTGTTTATATCACTTTTTTGTATGCATTTTTATTTTATTTTACTTTATATAATTGATTTTAATATATTTTTGTATCAGAACAAAACACACACATAAGTCCAGAGCAGAAACCAAAACACAATATGAAAATGTATGCTAAAAAAAGAAGAAAATAAGACTTGAGACGTTTATATCAATCCCATTTAAATATATATTATCTTCTGCTTTAGCCATTCTACAAAAAAAAACAAAAAACAGAATCTTCGATGCACTCACGCGGCGACCAGACAAACAAGTGCGTATACAGCGGTGTAATTGTGCGTCTGCTTTCATGTCCCTCCTCTAAACGTAAAGGTGTGTGTGTGTGTGTGTGTGTGTATGTGTGGAGCCCCGGGCCTTTTGTTAATGACAGAGGCCAGTGATTAGGACAGACTTCGACCGTGGGGCCAGTCGCCTCTTTCACCGCTGCTGTTAACAACCTCACTAAAGATCAAATACTAACAGCGGTACATCAAAGACAAGGCCGGACTCAAAAGAGGACACTCCAGCCCAAATTAATCAGAGCGTTTATTGTGGCCAGTGAAAGGGCGGAGGAGCAGACAAGTATATGAGTGTGGAGCCCAGGCCTGAGGCAACACCTGGCCACTGTGTGTGTGTGTGCGTGTGTCTAAATGTGTGTGTGTGTCTAAAAGTGTGCACACCTGCCTCCCCCCACCAGTCACACTTCAAACATCATTCATTAAGTTTTACACCTGCGTCTTGTTTCGTGCCTACCTTAAAACAAATACGGTCAGATCTGTATCAAAAAACGAATTGTGTTTTGTTTTATCACACTGGAAACTCACTGGAACATTTCTAATTATTTTTGCGTATGCTGCTGTGGCGAAAGTTGGATTTAATTGTGTGTTGTCCTTACTGCTGACACAGGGAGAACATGCAAACTCCACTCAGAAAGACCGGGATTCGAACCCAGGACCCGTGCCGCCCTTCTAAAATAAACAGTTCAGTGTAGGCTAAGAGTCTGAAATCTTTTTCCCTTATGGAGAGCAACTTTCTCTAGACAAAAATGGAGAATAGAGAGCTACTTCTTTAAGCCGTCCTTGGAAAAAAATGAGTTAATATATTTGTGAGAGCGAGCTTGAGAATGGGTACTGTCACTGTCAATGTAGTTGTAGTATCATAACATTTGTTACTGGTTTTCAAGTGAAATATAGAGTACATTATTCATTTTGTTAGTTTCTAAATCCATCGGAGAGCTACTTGGGAGGAATGTGGTGAGTTACTGGTAGCTCCCGAGCAATAGGTTGAAGAGGCTTTGTAATAACTGTCATCCTGTAAGAATGAACCCCATGAGTTGTTGTAGGGATCAGGCTAAGAGCTGATTGGCTGAGTGAGGGTGGTGCTAACAATGTGACCAACAATACATGCATGAGAAAACGAGTGATATCACCAAACTGTTGTAGGGTTTAGTACACAAATGTTATTACTGTGTTCAATGCGTTTGGGGTTTGAAGGTTTGGCATCCAGCTTTAAGAATCGTTTCTTTAGGAATGTTGATACCTTTTCTGACGTTTTTCTCTTCAAACATGAACAATATCAGATAGATACGTAATCCTTTATTTGAAACCAACAAACAAATGGGCGGCTCTTCTCGTGTTTCGTTCGTTGTCTGCAGCCGACTCCTGGTGCCATTGATTTGATAACTAAACTGTCTTAATCTTCACTTCCCGCTTTTATCATTCCTATCAACATTAGAAGCATGACAGATGACCAAAGTGACACTTAAACTATTTTTATCTCTACAACTGAAGGATTTTCTTTTCTCTTTTAAAGGCACTGTGGCTATTTATTTATAATTTAATCTCAAGTGTTATCTTAATGTTATAAGGTGTTTAATTACTTAACGGCGGCACGGTGGCTGAGTGGATAGCTCTCTCGCCTCTCAGCAAGAAGGTCCTGGGTTCGAATCCCGGCCGGACCAGGGCCTTTCTGAGTGGAGTTTGCATGTTCTCCCCGTGTTTGCGTAGGTTTCCTCCGGGTACTCCGGTTTCCCCTACCACTAAAAACATGTGCAGTAGGTCTGGCATGCGCCTCCTGTTCGGCGACCCTGCTCCCATCTCTGTGTGGAGTGAGAGACAAATGCCCAAAAAATAACAATTGTAAACCGCTTTGGGACTCTGGTCTGTGAAAGGCGGTATATAAATAAAGCTTACTTACTTACTTACTTAACGTTTATGTTTTAATATTAATTGTGATTTTACTGTTTGTTTTTAATCATATGTGTTTTGTTTATATGTTAATGTTTATGATGTATGCTTGATGTGATCTTAAAACCATGTACATTAATTTTCACGTTATTCTTTTTCGTCCCATGCGGGTGAGGCACTGGTTCACTTGCCTCTGCCACTGATTTAGACTTTTTATTCAGCTACTGTCCAACAACAACTTTTTATGACGGGATAACAGCCTGAACTGTAAATAGTTCATGCTGCTGTAATGTAGGATTTTAGAAAGAAGATTAAAACTCAGAGCTGAGAGAAACCCGTGCTTTAAAATTAAAATGTCGTTCAGGGGCATCTACGTTCACACATCTGGGTATAATCTCACCTCACACTTTAAAGCATCACTCATGATTCTTACCTCCTGGTGTCGGTGCAACATTCAGACATAAAAGTTCTTTTTGATGTTTGTGGACTATTTAATTTAGTTTAGTTTATGTCAGTCCACTCTTCGATTTAAAGTCATAATACTTTTTATGTCTTTGGTTTGAGGTGATCAGAACAGAATGTTGGTTTTGCTAATGTGGTTTCTATAAGCATAACGACTATGTGTGTGAAAGACGTTTTGCAGCATTGAAAATGACTACAAGTATATATAACATAAAGGTTTAGCAAAATATGGCTAATTTTGACTAAATAGGCATTATTCATTCATCCATCCATTATTATTATTATTATTATCATTATCATTTGTGTTATTATGATTATTTTGATTGAATGATTGAGTGAGATATAGTGAAGACTCAATATTACACTGAACCAACAGCGTTAGTCTGCCCCAGGGCACGTGTGGCCACAGTTCTGAATCGCAAACATGAACTCAAACATAATTCGAGAGACCGTTATAGTATTAACCCTTTAATTTTCACTGAAGAAAGCGATCTAGTTTTTAAAAAAGTTAAATTTTTTTCTGATTATCAAAGATGTAGGAGCACACAAATAATAATAATGATAATATTTTGTCTTGTTTTTTCACATTATTATAGTAACAAATGCTTGAGATGCAGTTTGATGGTAGAAGAGGTAGATTTCAGTTCCAACCAAGCTTCAAGTAGAAATAGTGACTCAAAAAGTGATCCGCCAAATGGCTAAAGAGAAAGTGGCTAATGGCTAAGTGGCTAATAAGTCAGATTAGAATGCCGACAGAGTGAAAGGCTGATGAGGTCACTGTTTACTGCTGTTTACTCATCCATAGCCGACACATTTCACACAGTCCCTCCACGTGGCCTCATTCTCTTCTTTATGAACTGCTGTGTTTGAACTGGGCTGCACAAAGTGATGTCGCTGCTCATTTGTCCCCTCGTGTGAAATACAGAGCAGCGAGTCTGGCTTTTATCTCTGGAGTCCACAAAACTCCCAACTACAGATTTTGTGAAATTCCCACCAATTCCCCCTGTGAATTCTCTCAAACATTATATGCCACGCCCATTTTCTGTACCGTAAAGATGAGATTATTCTTAGAAATGTGTGCATTACAGACAGTGATTATCGACATCAAGTTTTCTCATCAATGTTAGATTCAGATTCAGTTTATTTGCCATTTGCAGTAAAACCACATTGGAATACATAGCTTTTGAATGCGCTGGAAACGGCAGCAAGTCCCTCAGTGGCTCTAAAACAGTTGTTGTTTTGTGCTCTACAAATAGATTTTTTTTGCTGTTTTATGCCTGAAATGCTGTTGCTGATGATTTTGCACTGGTCCAGATCAGAGCAGAGAGGATTCATGGTCCAGCACTGGCAAAGATCAGGCAAAAATCCACTGGAGGAATGCTAACTTTTTGAAAAACGCTAATAAAGTATTCATCCTTTTACTTTGGACTAGAGCAGAGAAAATGGTCCAAACCAAGCGGCTACTCCACCTTGTGATCCGTCCTGCTCCACCCAGAGGCTACTCCACCTCTGCTGCTGTGACCTGAAGGGCTGTTGCTGATTACTGCTATTTTTAGCTTTTTAGAATGATCAATTATCTATCTATGTGCGAAAGTCCCCAGAGTGCACCAGACATAAATAAATAAAATAAAGCAAAAAAAAAGAAAAAATTAGAAGGAACAAAACAGGCAAGTACAGGAATGGACACTGGGGATGTCTTTAAACTAAAAAAACATGTGAATTTGTAAATGTATAGCACACTATAGGAAGAGAGAACAAAGCTAGCTGATGTTTTCCACTGTGACCCTGTGTTTGAAATGTCGACCTGGGACTACAGTGGGAAAGGTTGGTGTGTTGTTTGGACCTGTGTCAACCTTGCACAAGGAAAGACAAAATAAAAGAGTCAAAGCAAACTTTACAATATGTCTCCTAAGGATCCTATCCTAAAAAAAACCTTTAAAGCAGTGATAATAATAAAGATACATGATCAAAAATATGTGATTAAGTTGACAGGTGCTCAGTGTGTATGGTACTTCCTTAAGAGAACCTTTCGTTGCACAGTGGGGAAATGTCAATGATGCAGCTCACAAAATATACATTATAAGTAGCTGCTATGTTTACAATACAATACTATACAATGTATTCTTCTTTTGCCCTAAATCACAACAGAAGTCATCTCAGAGGAATGAACAAACCCATTGAAATCACCAACACAGGTCAGAGAATCAACAGTTAAGACACAAAAAAACCCACATACAGTATGTATTGGTCCATATGGTGGGACCAGTGGGGGCGGGTCCCGGTGTTCTGCCGAGTTGTGCCGCTCTGCCAAAAAGTGACGCTTATGTAATGCTCAGCTGTTAATGATGTAATGCAAACCTGCGCGCATGCGCGTCTCACGGCAGCCAAAACAAACCAAGATGGCGGACAGAAAGTCCGAGAATTGCTTTAAAAGTTATAATACAAACGAAATAAGACACGAATGTCACTTTTAATGCAATTTGAGGCGAGATGTTGATGGTTCCGTGTTGGCACATGTGGGTTTTAAGAGTCAAAGTTTCGGGTAAAGTTTAGTTTAAGCAGTCAACTGAACCTATGAAACCACTATGCTTATGTTATGACAGCAGTCCTGGCAGCTGACGTACGTCCTTTTTTGCGCATGCTCAAATCAGACTTGTTTTCTCTTCTACCCGAAGCTGAAAACACACGTGAGTATGGCTCTCCGTTTTCAAATGGCATATATTTTGATTGTTTTAACGTTCTATCAGCGAAATTCATCCTGTGATTTGATAGGGGCTTAGATACATCGATATTTAGTGAAACAAACGCTTCTTATTTTTCTTCTGTAAAGCGTCTGAGTGTCCAGAAAAGTGCTGTATAAGTTTGTTTTGTAATTATTATTATTATTATTAGAACACCAAAGACAAACCACCTCCGCATCAACAGACCAAAGAGAGGAAACATCTCCTCATAAACCGACCAAATAGAGGAACCACCTCCTCATCAATGCAGGGAAGACCAAAGAAATGGTGTTCTTGTTCCGAGTGGTCTGCTGGATCAACAGCATCACAGAGGGGGAAGAAGCTGGACAAGGTCATCAGTAAGTTCAGCTCAGTCATGGGCTGTTCCCAGTGCAGCAGGTGGGGGACCATGACTGTCACCCCCTGCAGGACACTCTGCTCTGGAGAGCAGCTTCAGTGAGAGCTATTCATCCTCTATGTGTGAAGAAGAGGTTGCACAGGTCTTTCCTTCCTGCCGCTGTCAGACTGTACTGTGAGAACTGCTGAGCCTGTACATGTCATCTCGTCTGTAAATAAGTAGTAAGTAAATACTGTAACAATCACATTTTCCCACTGTGGGACAAATTATACCTTATTTTATTTAGGAGACAATCATGGCACTTTCTTGACCCACCAATCAAAAACAAGTGGAGGAAAAATCAAGAGGCTTTTGGAGGATTTGAAGAAGGGAAAAATAGCAGATTCACCAGGTAGGGATAGTAATGTCAGTAATATTTGTTACTTTGCATCTAACGTTTTTCCAATGCTTTTAGGACACTGCCAAATGTGACAGCTACACACCAATGGAACTTGAGAGTGAGAAGGTGCTTGACATACAAACAGAACAGGTATGTCTAGTAGTAAATATTACACAATTTATTGTATTTTCATTATAAATTAAAACTTTTGTGTTTCCTTAGAGCAATGAGGTAGGAGGGAGTTTTTACATGGAAAAAGTCTTGAAGCGGACTACAGTGTCACTGATTGTCACACGCAAGTCAAAACATTTCTCTTGTAACCAAATTCATTGTTTTCTCAGGGTATGCCTCATTGTACAAAGAAGAGCTAAATGAACAACTGATTGCCTAAAGATGAGCAGAAACCCGTCTCCGAGCACCAGACATCACAGCTGAAGCGTTATTCTTTGTAATAATTAAGAATACAAATCCTGTTAACATTGAAACTTTTTTTTGCAGGCTTTTTTGGGCAGGAATTCCCCTAAATGAAAATGTCAAACGTGGGCAAGATTCTTCAAAAGGGCAGTCTTTATTCAAAGTTCCAACCCAAAGTACATCAAAGGAAAGCAAACAGCAAAGCCAACACTTGGTAAAGAAATAACACTGTACAAACATTACAGTACAATAACTTAATCATATATTATTACAGAGGCTGACCAGGACAGAAAGCCAACGCACTGGCCTTCAGGATCTGTGAACTCTTCGCGTATCCTGAGCACATCACATGCAGGAATGACCTGGCTCCCAGTCGTCCCGAGCACCAGCTAACCAACTCCACAAATCTGAGACTCCTGTGGAATTGGACACGTATGTTAATTATTGTAATTTGCTGTTTGCGTAGTGTACTATAATGTACTGAAATGTTTTGTCCCTTTGTCTGTTTCATGGTGTGACGACGAGACCATTTGCACCTGCTGACTGTCCTCCTTCAGCCCGACTCGTGAGCTGCACCCCTGCCTGGGAGCTGCCTCAGTCCTCGTTCTGCTGCCCCAGTCCCGCCCTGCGCCCTGGTCCATGTTCTGTAGCTTAGGTTCTGGATCTATAGCCTGTCCGTCCGTGAGGAGCGGATCCCTTTCTCAATGTGGTCTCCCTCAAGGTGTCTCACTTTTTTCCCACTGGGTTTTAGAGTTTTTCCTTGCCGATGTAGGAGGGTCTGTTAGACAGTTAAGTGTCTAACAAAAGGACTGGTGATGATCCAGGACACTTTAACATTCTACAACATTTATGGACATTTTTGCTCCTTATGGATCAATGGTTCTGTGTTGTTTTGCATTTCCTGTGTTTAAGTGTTCCTCTCAGATTTGTGTTTTGAAAGATATACAATGTATTGTGTGCTTTGGATGTGCCTGATATTTGTTAAATGAATTGATTTCTCAAAATGAAGTCTCCACGCTCTTTCAACATTATCAATATATTTATTTGACAGGGACAATGCAGACACAGTCATAAACAAAGCTTGCAGCTGATGTGATGAATATAGTTTATAGCAGATGCCAATTCACAACTCCTGTCCCTGGTTGGGCCTAACCAATCAAAGTCAATACAATTCCTACATTTCTAAAAATGCACTTAGTTTACAGCCTTCAGACTTAAACAGACTTGATTGATCCACACAAAAAAACTACAAACGTGTTTTCTCTTGTATTTAAAGCTTGACATCAATGCGGGAACTTTACATCCTTTAGCAGGAAAATCTACACAAATTCAATTCAATACCACAGCCCATTTTTTATGCACAACCTAACATAAAGCCCATGAAAAAACCTTTGATTGGTTCCAATTGAAATGTTACTCACCAGTGTTGTTCATTTCTTTTATAGAAAGGATGCACCCGATCTTTCATCTGGGAAACTAGTCAAAATTCATCAATCCACGAATGAATTACATTTCAAAGGACAACATGGCCATGGCATGTAATCTCTGTGGTTACTGGTGATAATAATCCTGTGGTTGTTGTCATGGATCAGCTGCAGCAGAGTCTTGACAGTAAAAGTTGCACTATATATCCAAATGGCCATATTTTTTTTTTGCAACTTCGAATTCATCCCATGAAAATTATTAACTGAACTGACAGAAAAGTGTGCAGTCCACAAGCTGTGCTGCTGCAGGTGATCGCTGCATTAAATTAAATTTATTATTTCCATTATCAACATTCATCCAGTTGTAAGCTGTAGAGTTGCCACAGGACGCTTCATCAGCCTACGTCAGCTGCCGAGGACTGCTATCATAACATAAGCAGTGTGGCGCAGTTGACTGCTTAAACTAAACTTTACCCGAAACTTTGACTCTTAAAACCCACATGTGCCAACACGGAACCATCAACCTCTCGCCTCAAATTGCATTAAAAGTGACATTCGTGTCTTATTTCGTTCGTATTATAACTTTTAAAGCAATTCTCTGACTTTCTGTCCGCCATCTTGGTTTGTTTCGGCTGCCGCGCATGCGCAGGTTTGCATTACATCATTAACAGCTGAGCATTACATAAGCGTCACTTTTTGGCAGAGCGGCACAACTCGGCAGAACACCGGCTCAAAAGTGGCCAAAAGGACGTGCGCTGACATGCTATATATCAATATTTTTTTTTCTGTCTATACATAAAGTGTAAATTAGCCACTCCAGCTTTAATGATTGTATAAAACGTAACATAGTCCCACTGTGTATTGCTAATGACTTTCACACATTATGCAGTTTTATAACAATTAGATCTAAAGCGTTAATTACATACTCATCCCGTGCACACCCTGGGATATGGCCAGATTTATTTTTCAGTTTGAACTGGTTTAACCCTCGCTGCAGAACCCTCAGGGAGAATAAACACTGTGATCTCCACCGATGTTACGGCCCTGCAGTTTTCATGCACAATCATTTGGAGCTTTCTAATTGAAATACCTCAAAATATAAACATGTGATTTACATTTGGAAAAAAACACAGTGATAATAAGAATCCCTGATAAGCTCAATTACGTTTCATATTTTGATTTGCTAACCCTAACCCAAAATTGTAATTCATATGAACAATAATGTATATTGGGTACTGTGCTGTTATTGGCAGTATTTTTCCAGCAATAACATATTTGAAATAGTCCCTGCCCTTGATTTAACTATAGGACTGGCAAGATTTTCTGGAGGAGAGTAGTTACACCAATGACAAGGGGTTCAAGGATTTGAATTAATTTTGACCAATCAGGAAGCTGCGGGGGTGAGCATGGGTGGGTCTAACCAGTGCTTGTCTTCAAAAAGTTCCACTCTCTAGTCTCAGCTTGAAAAGTATCATTCACTTTAAGAAACACATACAACCTGGTTCTGGTAATACTGTACATGACCCTCCTCAGCCCTACTTGGCCCTACTCTACTTGGCTCCACTCGACCTGGTTGTGTTTCCATTACACTAAAGTATCTGGTACCATAACCTAGCAATAAACAAACCAGTATCTAGGGGAATTCAGTGTTAACCATGGCTTACAGCAGCACCCTGGCCAATCACTGACCGTTATAACACTTTAGTACCAAAGTAGGGGACTAAAAAAGTACCTGGTGCCAGTTGAAGGGGAAAACGTTCATTATTGGGAAAGAGTAGAGTAGAGTAGGTTCTGAAATTTCCAGACTGAAGGACAAATAAAGGTTACCTAATCTTAGAGATGGTGGAAACAGGGCTAAAGTTGGCAGGGATTGGAAAATTATTAGTTAGTTACATAGAAAAAAATACTACGTTTGCCCAATTTTCCCCAATCTTTCCGCAAGACATAGTCTACTTTTTCACTGAATGTCTAAACCTTAGATCCACAGTGGGGAAATATCAGTGTTGCATCACAAGCTACAGAACAGTAGGAATGAGGATCACACCGCACAAGATAAAAGAATAATAACTCTATACTAGAAAAAAATACAATATAGTCTGTAGTCTAGCATAAAAAGAAGCAGTATACAATCTCTATCTTTAGCATAAGGAAATAAGTCTTAAAAGTCTCCAGCTTTAGCATGAAAAACCCTTGACTTTAGCATGAGAAGAGGCAAGTATAAAATGCTGTATATTCTAGTGCAAGTAGTATATAGTTGTATGTATGCATCTGTACATGTTAAAAAGCCACTTCTTTTTTTCCTAACCCTGTTGAGGGTTGCAGGAAAGCGTTGTCATGAAAACAATTGTATTCTTTCTTATGCATATGTGAAACAAGAGCCCTGACAGAAGACCAGTGTCGTCCATTAATATCTTACGAATACTATTGGAAAAAACATGGCTACCTGCTATTGCTGATCGTATAATCACTTAACGCTTTGGCCCCAGTGGACAAAACAGATTTAGCTGCATAAATTTCACCATTCATTAAGAGCTGCCCAGTCTGGGATGGTGATAAAGAGGCACAGATAGAACAAGCAGCATGCATGGGGCACAGAGATAATTAGCTGATAATTAATCTCGCCTGAGCTGAGCGGGCAGTGGCAGCGGTCCGTTTGGGGCTGTTTCGCTTCGGGCACTCGCTTCCATCGCTCTGTGAACTACATCAAAGTCAAGAAGAAGCAGCAGCGGCAGTGGTGGTGGTGGTGGCGGTGGTGGCACGGTGCATATCAAGTGAACTGTGCCAAATGTGGCTCAAAAAATGAGAATGTGCTTTGTCTTTTGATTTGAAGATGTCTATGTTTGTTTTTTTCAACAAAACGTGACATGCTTGGATATCTGTGCTGAGGTTGATGTGTGTGAATGGTTCTTTGTGTGTGTGGGTTTTTAATCATTGCATTTCTTGTGTTTGAACGGTTTGATTCTCTGATCTCTGTGGGAAATTTGGCGAATTTTGTAAAGTCCTTTGAGATAACTACTTTTGTGATTTAGGGCTATACAGAAATGAGTAGATTTTAATTGATGTGTGGGCTGGTGCTATGTGCTCTGGCCACTCCCCCAACCCAGAAACAGATTAAGTGGCAGAAAATGGATGGATGGATGAATGGATGGTGTGTCGATCACATACACAGTCAAAGAGTCTCATTACATACAGTAAGATAAGATAAGCTATGAGATCCTTTATTCGTCCCACAGTGGGGAAATTTCAATGCAGGGCTCATACAAGACAGTAGTAAGAGCACACAGGGAGCACACAAAACATACAAAAAAAAAGTAGCTTTGTTTCTTGAAACCAAATAACAAAACAGCTTCAATAACAATTGCAAGATCATTTAACTGCTTTGTTCAGTCTGATAACAGCTTTTGGAAAGAAGCTGTCGGCATATCGACATGTCCTGCATCTCAAAGACTGATATCTCCTGCCAGAGGGAAGAAGCTGGAACATGGACTTTCCAGGGTGGTCAGAAGAGTCATTGATGAACTCAAAGCTAAACAAAATACCAGGTTAATAAGAGAAAATAAATAAAAATAGGAAATATTTTAGAATAGGGATGACAGTGGCTCCACACCACGAGACCTTCTCCACCAACTTCTCCCCAAGGACTCTTTGTGTCCTTGGGCAAGACACTTAACTCCCCTTTGCCTGAAGCCCCCACTGAAATATTATTCTGGACAGAGCAGTCCTGCAGGAGGATCATTGAGGGGTGGGTGAATTGGGTAGCAGCTGGTTACCCCCCGTTCTGAAGTGGGTCCAGGTTCCTGATTTGTTGTGGGAGTGAGTTCCAGAGAGAAGGCCCCCCCCCACCCCCCCCCCCCCCCACCCACCTGCCCCCTCATGTCGGTGAGACATGAGGGGGCAGGTTATGAAGGGACTTGTAGGTGATGATGAGGACTTTATGTTGTATGGGACAGGGAGCCAATTTACCTTTAATTTTAAGTAAATACCCCTTAATATCAAAATCTATTTTCCAAGGGGGCCAGGTCCGCACACTTTGAGGGCAACACATGAGCAACAGAGACGACCAGTTTCTAAGACAAGTACATAAATAAACAATATCATAATTCAATCTAAACACAGTGGTGATAAACTACTATTTTAGCCACAGGTGGGACACACTGACTCAAGTGAGGCAACCAGTGCGTGCCCTCCGACAACCACCAATCACAGACACACATGTATACATGAAGTGTCTTGCCTAAGGACACAACAACAGTTTGGCACTTTACAGCCGCAGCTTATTGCCAATACAGTCAGAACTCTGGGTGAACAAAAAAAGATGAAATGGTGGATAGATAATACAGTAGCAGCTGAACATCATCCTATAGCAGACCATTTTACTTTTTTGTGACAAAGCATGAGAAAAGTTTCCAATCTCGGCCACGATTAAAGCACGACATTCAGACAATGCTGCAAGGACGGCATTCGCCTTTTCTTTCTGTTTGGAGACGATTCCTTTGACTCTTTTCCCTCTTTCCCTGTTTTTGTCTAAGGTCTCGGTTTCTCCCGTGCAAACGAGAGAAGCCACATTGATTTTGCCTCCAGTTTCAGGTTACCATGGAAACAACATAAAAAGTACAAAGAGAGTAAAGCGGACCACTTTCATCGCGGCGCCCTCTGATCATCACAGGACATTAGCATACCGAGGGAACAGGAGCGCACACACGGGGAAGTCATTGTGTGTTTGGAAATGATGCTGGACACGACTGCTCAGAAAAGTGGGTAAAAACAGACGGTAGGTGATGAAGAGGAGCTGAAATGCGAACATGTCCCACAGATATTTTACATGTTTGCTGGAATGTATACAATGCAGAATTTCTGGCGCATTCAATTATTTTTTGTCACCAATTTTCAGGTCCAGGGCAATAACAACAAAAATGCTAATAATATTTATATGTACATATCAAATTAAAAATGAAACTGAAAGAAATGCTGACCTGACAATTGCGCTAGTCCAAGGGTTAATCAAGCTTTCTCTCACATTGTGGATGTGCGCTACAGTTATGAATATATTATGTTT